AAAAAAAAAAAAAAAAACAAGAGAAAAAAACGCCTTTGAAGATGCAAAAAACATGTGGCTCGCTTGGTTGCAACAGAAAAAAAGCCAAGCCAAGCCAAGACAAGCCGCCCTGCTACTGTAGAGTACTACCGTCCTGTCCCTTTCACTCCGTTTGGCTCCCTTTGCGGGGCGGGAGTGCCCTCTGTGGGGGGTATCGATCGCTCTCTCTCTCTCTTTGGTCTCTTCTCTTTCTCTTTTTCTTTCTATTGCTGTGGAGCGAGCTGTATGCTGTGAGATGTGAGTTCTACTGCTGCTGCTGCTGCTGCCGCCGCTGCCGTCGAAGCCAAAAAAAAGCCGCCGCCCATTTTAGTTGTGGTCCTCTTTTCCCCGTGAACGCCGATGTGATGATGATAGTTGAGATGATGACTGATGATGATGATGACGATGACGACGATGGTGGTAGTGTGTGAGAGTGTATGAGAGTGTGGTGCGCGTCATGTAGAAGAAGTCGAAGTCCAAGAAAAAGAAACAAAAGAAGTCGAGAAATTCAAAACTCTCTTGTGAGCCGGCAGTGGGTGTTTGGTCTACACTGTGACCTGTGTAGAATCACTCGCTCTGCGCAGGCTCATATGAGCGCAGCCGCCAATCATCATGACTTCTTGGCCTGCGACGAGTGAGGCGGATGCGGGCCAGGCGAGCGCGGCCCGTCGTCCAGGAGCCAGCCCTGCAGGCGCGCAAACCACGCCACGGCGTGCGCGTCAAACGAGTCGATGAACTGCTCGTCGAGCGGGCGCGCCTTGGCGCCGGCGTAGATGTGGTAGTCGTCCTTGATGGCGCGCATGGGCTCGCCCAGGACCTTCTTGAAGCACGCGACGACGCATCCGGTACGGTGCTGTGGGGGCGGACAGTTGTGTTAGCTGCTGCTTGCTGTCGTTGTTGTGGTGGCACACGTGGGCGAATGGGGGAAGGGCGGAATTATGTACGTCGTCCTGTACGTACCTTGCCCTTGTTGCAGTGGATCAGCAGCGGGTAGTTGCTTCGGTCGAGGACGACCTTTAGCGCGTCGACCATGACTTCGGGCGTGATTTTGACCGTCTCTTTGTTCGCGGGGACGTGGACGCGATGGTGCTTGATTCCGTTGTCCTGCATAAACTTTGCATAATTCTCCGAGCAGTCGTCTTTGACCAGGGTGCTGGAGAAGGAGCGAATCAGCGACCGAACGTTTCGGCACGCGCGAGCAAGTCGCACAGCCGCATGCACGCGTACTTGCATGCATGCATGCATGCTTGCTGCAGGCAACAACGAAAAAAAATGCAGGGAGATTCAAGGGCCCTTACAGAATGCTCTTCAGCTTCAGGGTCTTTAGGAATTCGAAGTTCTCTTCCTTGGGGTAGCTGCAGCGGTAGATTTCGCCGGGCGAAACGGCAGCGTAGTTGTCCGGGGGCGTGAAGGGCGACAGACGCGCGGGGCAGCGATCCGAGTAGCTGGAACGGCGCGAGGAATCGCTCGACGTCGACAGACTGCTGGACTGGCAGCTAGAGGCTACTGAAGCCGTCAGAGAGAACGACGACGACACCACCCAAAGCACGGAAGATCGTTACCTGCTCCATCGCCCGCATCGATCATTTCTACATGCTCCGGCGCATACCCCACATCCGGCTGGGGGGGCATGTCCGGGGCCCTGCCGTAGGGAAAGCCCCAGCCCCGCAGTATCGTAACCATGTCGGTGAAGTCGATGAGGGAATCGACGCGTCTCGGATGTTCGGGGGTTGAGATGGGAGAGGTGAACATAGTAACTCTCGGCGGGCTTCTGGGGACGGGGTGGGATTATAAACGCGGCTCTCGCTCGGGCAAGCCACGTAAGATGCCAGGCTGGTTTGGTTGGTTGGACAGAAGAGCAACGGGCGCGCGCACGCGGGGAAGGTCGAAAAAGGTGTTTGGCGGACGACGAAGCAGGACTTGGCGGCGGCGCGCGGAGGTGGACGGGCGGCTCAGAGCAGGATGGAGCGGGAAACGTCAGAGAGACGGCTCGAATGGGTTTCGGATCTTCGTTGCGGAGAAGAGCCGGTGGGGAGGGCGGCCAACGCACTACCTTTGACCAAGGCAGTCAATCACCGCAGCGGCTCTGCTGGAAGGTGGATATGTCCATGGTGGGCGGCGGTAGGGTGAAGGGGAGGGGTGGTGGCGTGTGTGGGTGTGTGCGGGTAGATGTGGGAACGGGCGACGGGCGGGACGAGTCGCAGTGGTGAGAGATCAAAGAACCGGCGGGAATTAGATGACCAGGAGGCGGCCGTGGGAGGCCGGAGACTGGGCACAACCAAGTATTGGCTCGCTTCCACACTACGAGTGGGAATTTCCAAAAAGATGCACGACACAGTCTTTCTCGGTCGGGGCGCAGGTCAGCCCGGCCCTCTCCGCACGCCGAGCGACCTCTCTCCCCGCTGTAATACACTACACTAACCTACCAACCAACCAACAAACATTCAAACAACAACAACAATCATGGCTGCTGCTGCTGGCACTGGCGGCACCGGCCATTCCCGTCGCTCGCATCCCAACCTGCACCAGCTCAACCTGTCCATCGCCCCGCTGAGCTCGGCCTACTACGACCCCGCCTCCGACCACCACCCGCGCACCTCGTACCTCGTCCCCAAAACCGCCCCCACCACTCCAGGAATCCTCTCGCGCAGCCCCTCGCAGCATCGCAACCGCCATGGTCGCTTGCACGCCCACTACGACGACAACAACGACATCGACAACCCCACCGCCGACGACAGCTACTTCCCCCGCAACGCCCTCCCCAAAAAGGCCAAAAGCGATGCCGCCCTGCCTGGCCCCGCCGCCCTCGCCTCCGGCCCCCGCCATCACACGCGCAAGGGCAGCGTCCGCCGCAGCGCCGCCGCACCACCACCAGCATCGCACCGCCACGCGGCGCCCACCGCCACAGCCGACGACTGGCTGTACCGGGCGGGGCTAGCCATCGCGTGCGAGACGCGCGAGCTCAAGGGCCAGTCGTGGCTCAGCCGCCGCGACAGCAGCACCTCGCTGGTGCGGGCCTCGTCGCTGTCGTCCGACGAGGACGAGGTGCCCGAAGACGCGGCCGCGGCGCGCCGCCGCCTGCGCAGGCTGGAGCTCAGTCTCAGCCGCAGTGGCAGCGCGCGCCCTTCGCGTCGCGGCAGCGGCGTCCGCGGCAGCAGGCCGGATCTGCTGGGGATGAGCGGGGGGGTGGGGACACGGACGCCGTCGGCGCTCGTCGTCGAGGAGGGCGAGGGGTATTTTGGCGGCGAGGCGGCGGCTGCGGCCGTGGTGGGCATGGAGCCGGACTTTGTGGAGCCCGGTGACGACGACCTGGACGACGGCGCGGCCATTGACGGCGGCGCCGACGCCGAGGCGGAAATTGCGCGCCTGGCGCGCGAGCGCGGCTTCGGGCTCGGCGGGCTGGTCGACCGCCTCATTGGGTGGACGCTGTTCAGCGTGGCCGAGGACGGCGAGGAAGACGACGACGACGACAGCGCGAGCGAGAGCGACGAGCGTAGCGAGCGTAGCGAGCATGCCGCCGATATCTCCGCTCCACAAGCGGCAGCGGAAGGTTCCGCCCAAAAAGAAGCAGCAGAGGCAGGGCTGCCCGCGGCGCGCAAAGAACATCGTCGGCTCGACGCCAGCAGGGTGCGTGCGGAAGCGGAGATGGCGAAGCCCGGGCAGGCGGCGCCCGAGGACGGCGGCGGCGGGTGGGGCGACGCGGCGTGGTTGCTGAGCGTGGCGGCGAGGGTGCTGCTGTGATGTGATTGCAGGCAGCGTGGCTGCTCTACTTACGACGTTTATGAGAGTGTTATTTTCGGGTTTAGCGTGTGGATTTGGGTTGTTTGTTTGTTTGTTTGTTTGTTTGTTTGTTTTTGGGAGGGCGGTAATGGGTGTGGGTATGGGTATGCTGGGTATGCACATACTACATATGTCCGGATGGACGGACGGACGGACGGACGGACATGGATGGCATGAAGGACTAATACACGCATGGATGGATGACGCTCCTACCTATCCTTCTATCTTTTCTAATCTACTCGACAGTATCCTACACCCCGCCACGCCAGCCAGCACATGCATCCGTAATTCGTACATGTATGCCTTTTCCAGGACCGTACGGCAGCACGTCCCGCCCGTCATTCTACTCAACCTATCTAGGTACGACTGACCCTAAAGAGTCTTAGCAGCACCGCTTTCGTCAATGCCGTCGCCGTCGCCGTCGCCGTCCATGCACCACATGACCACGTCGCCCTGCCTCCGCCAGTCATCATGCCAATGCGAATTAAAGCCGCGCCAGCGCAGCGCATACGGCGACCCCGCCAGAAACGCGGCCATGGTGTCCTCGAGCTGCGCAAAGAAGACGAGGCACTGGGGCCAAGGCCTGCGCTCCGCCTCAGCACCTCGCTCCTGCGCCCTCTTACCGTCGCCGTCGACCCCGTCCCCCCCAAGTCTCGGCACATCGCCCATGTGCGCTGCGAGCCACGCCTCCGGCCCCGCGTAGAAGACGTCTGCCTCGTCGACGTACGCGGCGCGCTGCTCCAGCGGCACGTCGATGGGTGGCTCGCACGTCAGCGCCCAGGCGCGCAGGCCCGGCCACACGAGGTGCGAGCGCCACGGCGTGCTGTGGCAGGGCATGAGGAAGGCGACGGACGTGGTGACGGGCACGGCCTCGGATCCCCCAGCGGCGGCGGCCATGCGCGCTTCGTGCCTGGTGCGCAGCGCGTGCATGACGTCGATGACGCCGCGCTGGTGCACCTGCGAGACGTAGGCTGCGAGGACGAGGTTGAAGACGAGGAGCCCGCCTAGTAGGGCCTTCTTGCGCGCTGTTAGCGGCTGGAAGAAGGTAAGGAGCGGTTTGGCGGCGAGGGCGTGCAGGGCGGGGAGGAGGGGGTAGATGAAGCGGACTTCTTTGTGGGAGATGAGGGAGAGGACGGCAACCATGACGGCGCAGGTGGCGGCTAGGGTGGGGAGGATGATGTTGTTTTTCTGGGTGGTGGTGAAGGCCTGCCATGCGCCGACGATAGTAAAAGGCAGGGCGGTGGTCAGCAGCAGCGGCAGGCCCTCGGTCAGGTAGTAGTCGGGCCTGTTGCGGCCGTAGAAGACGGCCAGGGCCTTTGTGATGTTGAAGTAGACGAAGCGCAACGGGGGGAAGGTCCAGGCGCGGTAGTAGAGGCGGTCGGCGAAGGCGGAGCCGGCCAGGACGCCACAACTAATGGATACCTAGTCAGTGGTCATGGGCCCTATAAGGTTGCACACCCTGACACTCACCCGCAGAGCACGGTCCACTGGACTAATGCGCGCCGCTCGCAAGCGCCCGCACGCCAGACGCTCGACACGCCCACGCACATCCAGATGAGGACGTTCGTCGGCCGCAGAACCACGGCCAGGGCCGCCGCGACCAGCGACCACCGACGCCCGAGGCTTGACGCCCGTCAGCTCTCTCTTGTGTGTGGGTGCCCAAACAGGCAACTTACCTTCCACATGGTGTGACGCCCGGCCACGGCCACCAGACCAGCGCGCACGCCGTGAGCATCGTCTCGACGCAGTTTGACAGCGTGCGCGTCGAGCAGAACCACTGCCACGGGCTGCAGACGCTCAGGGCTAACTGGGTGCCATCGTTAGCTTTGCTTTTGCCGCGGGCCCCCTCCGTGTCACCTACGCTCGCCCATGCCGCGCTGCTTCCGCGCCCATACGCCCGCTCCGCAAGCCGCCAGGTAGAGTGATCAATTGCCGCAGCGAACACGGCCTGCGTGATTTTCGGCGCTGCAATCAACACGTCGGGTGAGAGGCTGCAAATACCCGAGATTGCGCGGTAGAGGGCGGCGAAGAGGGCTGGGTGCAGCGACGACCGCAGCTGCTCCCTCCACTCCTGCATTCGCCGTCGTTGTGAGAAAACCTATAGAAAACAATTTCATCCGAGAGACTCGGTGCACGCACCCATGTGATCCAGGCACCGCTGCCCTGCCCAAAGGCCATCTGCCATGCTGGCTCCAGTGCTTGGTAGTACTCGTCCGGCTGGAAAAAGGTCCTGTTCGTCAGCGCGTTGACGATGCGCAGCGCCAGCAGCAGGCCGAAGACGTGCTGCATGTCAGCGCGAGAAGCCATCGTGGGGCGGCGAAAGGTGCAGAAGAGGGTTTAGGTAGGGAGTCGTTCTCGACATCGACGATGTCAGCACCTGCAAACGAACACATGCAGGCTGGCACGGGCGCGCGCGAGGGCCCAACCGCACATTCATCAATTCACACACACACACAACACACATGCACACCATACACATATAATATGCATATGCACTCGTTACAAGTCGCCTCGGCACTGCCCCCCATCGTCCAGTTCCATTTTCGGCATGGGCGTGAAGACTATGTAAGAGAGATATTGTAGAGAGAGAGAGAAGAGAGAGTATCGAGAAAGCAGGAAAAAAATGACAGCTCGCACGTTTCGCGGGCCGTCCGTGCATGTCGTCGATATAGCGACCCCGCCTAATCAACGGATCCTCCAGCTCCACCGGCGGGCAGGCAGTTGGGGGCGCGGCGATCATGCCGGGTGGGTCGAGGTGGCAGCCAGCCAGTGCAAAATCCGGGGAAAGCAGGAGGGCCAGGGCGGGTGGTGGGTGTGTGAAATGGGCAAAAGTTGAGGGCATGCCGAGGCGAGAGATGACGCGATGGGCAACGCAGCCGGCGGACGAGCGAATCGCATTCCCCCCTGCGGCTAGGGCGTGTTCGCCGTCATGTTGCGCGGGCCGTGCAGGGCGTGCGAGCGAAAGAGAGGTGTGTGATGTGTGTCCCAACAGCTGCCCGCGGCTCTGCTGCCATATCGATGCTTCTCAGGTGGTGCCGCTACTAAAGCCCGCGATTGGCATCGTCATCTGGCGCGAGCGTCTCCACTGGAGCTTGCCGAAAACCACCGATCGCTCAATCACCACGCCGTCGCTTTCCCTTCTCTCTTTCCTCTGGGAAGCCTCCGCCGAGCGTTGGCTCGAAAATCGAACGCGCCCAGAGACACCACACCACCCACACTAGCCCCGTCGCCCACCACACATCGACCCTCCCCCTCTCCCTCCCCTCGCTCCGCTCCCCTCCCCACCCAGCTCGCTCTCCCCTAGCCTGCTGCTGCCACTGCTTCGCTGGTGGCTCCGCCCGCTCGCTCGAGTGCAGAATGATACGCCCGCCTCAAGCGCTCCAACATCTCTTCTAATTCCCAACCCCCGCCACCCTTCGAGAGGACAGATGACGCCAGCTGGAGGTTAATCCCCCTGCGCGAACGACGTCGAAGCGACCCGAGTCGGACGCGGCCAGAGGCAGAACAATGGCTGCACCAGACCGAGGCACCGATGCCGCAGTCGGCGCCCGAGACGACGCTCCGCCGTCGCCTCCAAAATTCCACCACCACCAACACTACTACAACCACCACCCCACCCGCAATCACAGTAACAACAACCACCACCGCCAACACTCACACCACCACGACCAAGCCCACCATGTCGCCGTCGCCGACCATGGCCGCGAGTCGAGGTCGTCGCCACCCGCCGCCTACGATTCGGACCACACGCCGCGATCAGGACCACAACCTGCTGAGGACACGCAGCCAGCGTGGCAGTCCCTCCCGGCCACGCACCACACCTCAGACCTCCCTTATCACTCACCGCGCCCGCTGAGATACCACACCGCATACCTTCCGACATCGCACTCGGCCTCGGCTGACCCGTCTCCCTCGCAAACACACTCGTCTTCGTCTTCCCTCAACAACATGGCGGGGCATCGTGAGTCAAGCGACGCACCCGATCCGCAGCGCGTACAGCAACGGACCCCCGAGCGGCCCGCTTTCCGTCGAGATCAGCTCTCTAGCGCCTCAACAGCCAGCAACTGCACGGTCAGAGCGCCTCCTGTTTCGGACCTTGCCTTACCCACTGCGGCAAGGTCGAACCAGAGGCCGCATGGAGACTCTTATCCACGATACCCAAACCAATCCTACTCGGTGCTGCAATCACAAGAGGAGTTTATGCGCTACCCCAACCCGCCGCTACAGGCGCATCAGATCCATCCGCCTGGCCCGCACCTCCTGAGGACGCGGAGCTCCCACCCCTCGCAATACTCGTCCTTTTCCTCCGTGTCGACCGGCTTGCATCCCGCACAATACATTCCCATCGAGGGCATCAAGACTCACGACCATGGCATCCGGACGGCGGGCAATTCGCCCGCCACCAGCCCTGGCTTGTTTGACATGGGACAACCCATAAGACCCGTCCTTGGGCCGTCGGAGGAACATGGCTACTACTCGAGTCCTTACCTGCACTTTACCCAGAGGCAGGTACCGAAAGAAACCCATGTCGCGGATGTCGATGTCGATCCGATCTCGGGCCGCAAGATCATCAACCAATATGAGATCATCGACGAACTCGGTCGGGGGGTGCACGGAAAGGTGAAACTTGGCCGCAGCTTGGAGACTGGACAATTCGTGGCTATCAAGATAGTGGATCGATACTCGAAGAGAAGGCGTCTGGGCAAGAACACCAGTCACGAGGACAAGATCAGGAAGGAGATTGCCATTCTGAAGAAGGCTCGTCACCCGAACATTGTTGGTTTGCTCGAGGTCATCGACGATCCGTCCCGGAAGAAGGTTTACATTGTCTTGGAGCATGTCGAGTTGGGCGAAGTTCGATGGAGAACCGAAGGATCGAGGGAGATTATCCAAATCGAGCATCGCCGATACGAACGTGAAGCCAGGGGTATTTTCGATAATGAGTCCGCCGCGCTTGAGGATCAAAGGATACTATTGGAGGCGCAAAGGAAACGGGAAAGGCAGGAGAAGAGGAGGCTGAGGCGGCTTCACGCCAAGCGTGAACACGAAGCCGGCGCCGAATCATGGAGCTTTGAGCATGGCGGAGATACAGAGGAGGAAGACAGCGAGGGCGAGGAAATCTCTCGGACCTCGACGGCAACGAATGAAGATCCAATGGGTCTTGGCAAGAAGAGGAGCAGAGCGGCGTCGAGCAGAGCGGCATCGCCAACGGACATGGACGCAGAAACGACGCCACACGCCCCGTTGAACGAGCGGGTGGAGGAATTGCGCGAATCAATGCCCTCGAGCAGCTCCTTGCCGTCCATGGGTTGCGAGCATACGCAAGAAGAGCCTCGGTCTCAGTCTGTCACGGGCCTGGAAGGAACCATGTACGGCGCATACGTATCCATGCCGTTCCGAGGCAGGAACCCGAGCATCGCAGGAAGCTCGTCTTCGAACAATCTCGACCAATTGGAAGATCTCGACGTGCCTGAACATTTCCGCTACGTCCCGCTCATGACTTTGAGCGCCACCCGGAACGCCTTTCGCGACACCGTCTTGGGGTTGGAGTATCTTCACTACCAAGGAGTTGTCCACAGAGACATTAAGCCGGCCAACCTGTTGCAGTCCAGAGACAACCGCATCAAGATTTCGGATTTTGGCGTTTCTTATCTGGGACGCCGCACGGCCGCAGCAATCGGCGACGATCAATCCGAGTCCGACGCACAGGATGTGGACGAAGCAATCGAGCTAGCCAAGACGGTTGGTACGCCAGCGTTTTACGCTCCGGAACTTTGCCAAACCGATGCGGACGCGGATGCTCTCCCGGTCACCGGGCAGATCGATGTCTGGGCTTTGGGTGTGACGTTGTACTGCCTTGTATTTGGCCGTGTTCCGTTTCACGATTTGAACACCTTTGTTGTGATGCGGCTTATCGCAGAGGATGAGGTGTACATTCCGCGATTCCGCCTTAGGGCTGTCGATGACCGCTCTGGATCCCGCCCGGGTTCGCACAGTCGCTTCTTTAACCCAATGACCAGCAACAAGCGTGGTCCCCACGATCTGGTTTATGAGGAAATCGACGATGATCTGTACGACCTGTTGAAGCGGCTTTTTATCAAGGACCCTCGCAGGCGTATCACACTGCGCGAAGTCAAACACCACCCTTGGGTCCTCCGCGATATCGCCGACCCGATCGCTTGGCTCGAGGAAACCGATCCTTCCCGGGAGACACAAGGCAAAAAGATCGAAGTATCACCAAACGATGTTGAGAACGCCGTCGTCCAACTCAACTTGCTGGAAAGGGTCAAGTCTGGTATGAGAAAGCTCGGAGGCGCTCTCGGAATTGGCTCTGGATCCAAATCGTCAAAATCTTCCCGCGAGCGCCCAAAGGGGGAAGGCGGAGTGTCATCGGCCGCATCGTCAAGCAGCACAATTAGTCAAGACGCACGAAGGTCAAGTCTCCGACCCGATGACACGATTTTCGCCGCTTTGAGGGCGTCTAGGGAGAGCGACCATCCATTGTCTCAGAGCGTTACGGTCAGCCCTGATGTGAGAGAGCGGGCTGAATTTTTTATCGGCCCCACCTCAAGGCCTGACTCCCCGGACGATGGTGTGGATGACGATGTGAGAGAGACGACCGAGAAGCATGATCAGTTGAGTTTTGCTGAACGCGCGAGCCAGTCTAGCATGTCTACCGCTGGCTCTGTGAGAACTCTGAGACAGGCTGATTTTGATTTTGTGTCGAGACGGCGGGGAGCTTCTCCTACCATGCCTCAAGGTGTTCCCAGCACTCCTCTGACTCTGGACACTCCGGGGGCGTCGAACCTTAGTGGTATTTTTGGAGGGGCCGGTCGCCGTATCTTGAGGTCGGTGAGGAGCAAGGAGAGGAGCTCCACAGAACGAAAGACACCAGCCCACAGCCGAGCGACTTCGATCGATCGTCTAGTGGCAGGTGAGGAAGTTGACCCGCATGGAGAGCCCAGCATCGCTTTGAGCGATGCGGTCGCTTCAGGTCATGTCGATCCACCCGCAATTCCCACGGAAAGTTCAGCGGCCAGCAGCGTCGTTACGAGCCCGGCATCACCGGTTTCGCACTCGACTGATGCAAGGCCTCTAAGCCGCGATGGCACACCTTCGCGGCAGTCGTCCATCTCGTCAACATCTTCCCATCGTCCTCGTAAGCGCATGGTCGAGGAAGACAGACTGTACTCGCTTCCTGCCATGCAAGAATATTTGGATGAGCGTTTCAACCGGGCTAGAGATGAGAATCGACGACGACGCATCGCCGAGGAGCAAGCTGCTTCAAGGCCTACTTCTTCGCATGGGCCTAGGCCGCCCAGCAATCATGGACCGGTTCTGTGCCCGCCGAGTCCTGATGATGAGTTTTATTATCAAAAGAAAAAAGAGGAGGAATCTTATTCGCGTCGCCCGAGCATGACACCCAGAGGATATCCGGTACCTCTGACTTCGAGCTCTTCGGATGATCAATTCTTCTCTGGAGTCTCGCAGTCCACTTCAAACCCGTCGCTTCCTTCCGTTATATCTGCAAATTCATCAATCATTCAAGATGAGGTGGTTCCTGAGGAGCAAGAGAAAGAGCTTCAAGGGACCACGAAACTAGAGGGGCCGGTCGTTAGCGTGACTGAAGAGCACGATCATGATGGCTATGATGGTGATCACGCCTTGGAAAGCGATGAGGATGATGATTCGTCAGACGACGATTTTATCGAGTTGAGCACGAAGAAGCGCAAGCCTCCTGTTCATCGGCATTCTCGGAGCGAGAGTGTTTCGAATGCAGAAATCTCGCGTCACCAAGTCCACTCCAGCATTAGCACCAGCATTAGCACCGTCGTCAGGAAATCGTCGCGCAGCGGCAGCAACGGCACCGTCAAGAAGGTCCGCAGCAACAGCGGATCCGATATGGAAATAATACATCACGAAAGCGCGTGACGCGCGTAGCCGTTATTCGTGGCCGTTGTTCAGATAACCGTTGCTTTCCTTGCTCTTTTCGGCAAAAGTACGAAAGCCTTTATGACACTTTGTATGAACAGCACGCTTTGATTATGTTTTATCTTTCCGGAACTACTGCAGGCGGCCCCGGCACTGCACACGTTTGTTCACGATATCTCATTCTCCTATATCAGCGAAGGCGCAAGGGGCGCACGGGACAATGGGAGGGCATGGGTGGCATTTGTGTAGGGAGGCGGAGCTGGCGTCGAAGCAAATACACAATCTCGCGTTTTTTTTTTTTTTTTTTTTACCCCCCCCCTTATTTGTATTTTTGTTTTTGTTTTTGTTTTACTTATTTTATTTGTACTTTTACTGGGCCTTTTGTTTTTTTTTTTTTTTTTTTTTTTCTTCGTCGTTTCTTTATTTCTTCGGTTTTGTTTTCGTTGTACATTTTTGGGTCTAGAATCCTCTCCGCTTTTGGCATTTTGTTTGCGGCGGAGCTGTCGTTACCAGTAGTTGTGAAATGTATCATATGGCTTGAAGGAGCAGCTTGGCCGTGAGGGTGTGTCGGATCGTCGGGAGGATGAAGCGGTACAGGCTGTTGAGGGTGGGTTACCGGCAGGTCACTTAGGCTGAGGAAAAGGAGGAGGGTGAGGGTGAGAGGGCGACGTGGTTAAGTGGAAAAGTGCGGCCGGCGTCGGTGCGATGCGGAGGCGGGGCGGGGAGCTCGTATTGGTGGACAAATGACCCTCGATGGATCGGCGGGGAAAGCCCGCGCGGCGCTGTGGATGAGACACCATTCCGCCATTGATGGCGACGCTACCTTTGGCTTGCGACCGCAGACAGAGCCCATCCCTGCCGTTCGCTGTATATGGGCGTGCAACTGTCCGTTCACATAGCGCCGAATTCCCCGTCAGGCCAGACGAGTGAGCGAGATACATCACAGAGCCTGTGACGCCTCTTCTCCCGGTTGTCAGAGATGCCATTCGCGACCCTCGGCTTTGCGCAGCAGCCTGACCCCTTCCGCCGCATCCTCGTCGAAATCCAGCAGCGCATCAACGGTTTTAATACTTATGGGTGAGCTGCCCAAGGCCCGCGTCCGCCCTCCCCTTTCGATGGCAGCGCCCGCAAAGGACTCTACCGTAGTCCAGCACGTCGAGGTGCTCGTCGAGAAGCCCGCCTTGCTGGTCCTGTACGGCCCTGGCGAAGAGGCTATCGTCACGTTGGTCGCCGACGTCCTCGGCCAGACGCACGCTCTCGTCGACGACCTGCAAGACGTGGACCCGCTGCCGCCTGCAACCGTTGCGGGGCTCCCCAACGCCATCGACGCCATCGCCCTCGCTCAGCGTCGCGCGTCCCGCCTCATCATCAACACGCATTGCGTCGAGGGAGGCGCCGCCCCGGCCGAAAGCCTCTCCTTGGCTTGCGACTACGAATATTTGTATACTCATGGTGTTTATCTGCGCCGCGACATCACCCGTTATCTATCTTTTATTCTTGGTCAGATTGTTCCCCACGTCGACCTCGCCAAGAAGACTAGAACTACCCTCATCTCTACCACCTTTCCCGACGTCCATGCCGCTCTTCCAAACCTTGATATTCTCTCCGTCGGCGCCGACGCCGTGGAGCTGAGGGTCGACCTGCTCAAGGAACCGCTGCCCGACGGGACTTTCAGCGCGATTCCGAGCCTTCGTTATGTGGGCGAGCAGCTGATGATCCTCCGGCAACGGACCGAGTTGCCCATCATCTACACGACCAGGTGTACAAAGGAAAATGGGCGCTTTCCCATGGAAGATTCTTCGCTCTTCTACAAGTATCTCTTCAGAGCAATTCAATGGGGCTGCGAGTATATCGATGTTGAGCTGTGGCTACCCGAGAATATTCGGCGCGAGCTGGCCCTCAAAAAAGGCAACAGCAAGATCATCTCCGCCTTTCACGATTTCTCGGGGAACTTCAAATGGACCTCGCCGGAAGCAAAGGAGCTGTTTGGAAAAGGGGCAGTGTATGGCGATGTGGTCAAGATGATTGCCCTTGTCAACTCCATGCAGGACAATTACGAATTGGAGTACTTTCGGTCGACTATACAAGCGCAATATCCGCATCCGCCATTCTCCGGTTTGAACATGGGGCCCATGGGACAGCTTTCAAGGGCCCTCAATAAAGTCTTCACCCCTATCACGCATCCGCTGCTACCGATGATAGCTGCGCCAGGCCAACTGAGCGCAGCCGAAATCAACACTGCCCTACACAGCATGGGCCAGATGCCCAAGCAGGACATTTACAGCATCGGCAGCGTGCGCCTGGCGAATCAGGCCATGTTCCTGGAGAAGTGTTTCAACGAGCTCAGCCTCCCGCATCAGTTCACCTTTGTGGACAAAGCGGCCAGGGGCTGTGTGGAGACGGTCGTCAGGCGAGCCGGCTTTGGTGGTGCGTACATGCATCCCCCGCTCGCGGCACCGACGCCGTATTTGCCGGTGCTCTCGGATGCCGCCCGAGCGATTCGGCTCGTCGACACGATCCTGGTGAGGTCGGAGGCTGGCAGTCCGGTTTTGGTGGGCGACAACGCGACGTGGAAGGGCATCCGTGCGACGCTCACACGAGATTTCGTCCCGTCAGCCTACAGCGACCGTGCAGCGCTGGTCTTGGCCAGTGCAGAGTCGGATGCGGCGGCGGCGATCTTCGCGCTCAAGAGCCTGGGCATTGGGCCGATCTACACGATAGGCTTCCATGTCCGCTCGCAAGGGTTGCTGGCAGCCGGGGTGGAGCCGTTTAGGTCGGTCGAGGATGTCAAGAAGCTGGAGCAGCCATTCGTCATTGTTTCAGCGCTGCCTGCGGAGAAGTCGCTGCTGGTCGGGCCGCTTCTTAAGCACTACAGCAGCGGGGCCGAGGGGAGAGTGTTTCTGGATCTCGCCAACGGGCCGCGAAAGGTGGATCCGCTGGCCCTGGCGGCGGCGGCGGGCTGGCGCGCGTACGGGGTGGGCGACGTCAGCGCGTGGACGACGGTCGAGACGTTGAGGTTGTTGGTAGGGCAGAATGTGCCGTATGATTTTGTGCGGTTGGCATCTGGGAGGATGTAGGGGGAGAGGGGCGCTTGGAGGGTACATGGTAAGGTAACATAGGCTAGACAGCATGATTCATGACAGACTTCCCCAGATTTCACGGCTACGGAGGCCTCTCCCATTGGGGCGAGAGACTTCATCAATTTTAGAGTGGCTTCGGCGAGTAACTGTCATGTGGCCGGGCGCGTACTCCGACGTTGCGTGCGGGCTAGGCTGAAGATAGCAGCCATCATCCGCGCCCTGCCACCAGCCCTTCCCCACCCGCGACGTGCATCTCGCCGTTTAATATGATCCTGATCCTGAGTGAGCGAAGCTGACTCCCGTCCGCCCTGCCATGTCGTGACCTTTTCTCTAACACCATGTCGCGCCCTCAGGTCGGCATCGACCGCCTGCCCGCTCGTCGGATGAGCAACGAGCCACGCGAGTCGATGAACTGCAAGAGCTGTCGCAAGCGCAAGGTACGAGATTCCTCCTCTCTTTCTCGTGTGTGCCGCTCGTCCCGTAACTCACCCCCTCGCCAGATCAAATGCAATCGCATGCGCCCGACGTGCGAGGCCTGCCAGGTCTTCGCATGCCCTTGCATCTACGGTTCGCCCCCGCGCCCCATAGTGATCGTCTTAAGGTGCTGATCGCCCGCCCGCCAGACGCCGTCCCCAAGAAGCGCGGACCAAAGACCGACGTGCTGGAGGCGTTGCTCAAACGCGTCGACGGCCTGGAAAAGCGCCTGCACGAGGAGAACAAGAATAAATCTGATGTCGAACCCGCCCCACCAAAGCCCATCGAAGACTTTAATACCCCACCCTCCAAGCCCGCCCTGCAAAAGACCGAGCTGCCCGCCGTCGCCGCTTCGACTGCTTCCGTTTCTCCCACCGACATCAGGTACGTTGCTGGACCTGAGACGCGGGATCTTCCCGTTCGGCTGACCGAGTGCAGCCATCAGCCTCTTGTCCATCAACGGCCGGACATTCTGCTGGACACGTACTTTGCAAGAATTCACGGGAAGCCTTATTACATCCTTGACGAGCTGACGACACGTCAACGACTGCAGCATCAGCAGCTGCCGACTCATCTTGCCCATGCCATTTACGCCGTGAGTGCACGGTGAGTACGCTGTCTAGGCTTGGTTGATGAGATGCTAACGTTTTAGGTATGCACCACATCCGGCTGGGTACAATGGCGCTTCTCGTGCGAGTGAAGAGCATGCGGCTCAGGCCCGCATCGAGCTCGACACTGATGAGCCTTCGATAGAGTCTCTTCAGACTCTTTTGCTACTTGCTCAGGCCAATTATCAAGCCGGTAGAGGCAAGAAATCTTATATGTTATCGAGTAAGTTATAAGTGGTTATTGTTGGCAATTCTGACCTTTTTTTTAGCATCTGCCATCAGTATGGCATTCGCATTGGAGTTGCATCGAGAATTGCCTTTGATGATTAATGTTCCACCATCTGAAAGAGAGGGTCGACGCCGGCTCTTTTGGGCATGCTATCTTATGGATAGGTTTGCTGCTTGTGGGTCTAAGCGGCCTTCTTTGATTCAAGATGAAGCAGTCATGCTTCGTCTGCCTTCTTCCATCACTGCTCCTGGAGCGATGATGCTGGAGGGAGATTATTTCCGAAACGGTTCAAACCTGCAGTACATGGCCGGACCTGGCAAACACAACCAAAGTAGCTCGATGATGCTCATCGGTATCGCTCGGATACTTGGCATCACTAACCGTTACCTCGCCGCCGGAGGTGTGAAGGGAGACTCGCATTTCCCGTGGCATTCCTTGTCCAACTTGTCCAAGATTCGGCACGAATTGGACTTGTGGGCGGCTGAAACCCAGGACACTTTTAGTTCACTCGAGACCCTTTTTGGCCATGCCGATAGCACTATGCTCGTGCTGAGCAAGTTGGTGTACCATTTGATACACTGTCTCATCTACCGGCCGTTCCTTCCCATGGACCTTGCTGAGTTGTCTATTACCGGCCATCATCAATCCTGGCAGATTGAAGCGACAAATCTCTGTTTCTTACACGCAAACGCCATAGCCGAACTCGTGGAGATTGGAAGAGCGTCCTCGATAATTGACTGGCCAGCTTTTGTTGGCTACTGCGTTGGGACCGCCGGAACCATTCATGTTCATGGAGCCCATTATAGAGGTCGAGAGGGAGAGGTATACTCGACGAGCTCTGAGCTTCTTTCGAGAGAGATGCATCAATTGGCCGAGCTCCGCTTCATATGGGCAGGCATACAGCATCAACGTGACACCCTGCAGTGGATATATGGGTGTCATTCGGAGTTGGCGAAATCCCTGGCGGGAAATGCCATGCGTTTCTCGCCTGTCCTAGAACTCGAGGACTTTTTCGACCGATACCCGGGTCAAGCGGTCGATGGAGCGCATGTTACTTTTGCAGATTTGTCCATGGATAGGAGTGTTCGAGAGAGGTATGTTCAGATCTAGTTGTAGATGTATCTCCATTTGAAGCTGACCAGGGTAGTATTTCCTTGTACACAACTTCACCACAGAATCCATATGCCACGGCAAGTAGCTTTCCGCTAGCAAACCAACCGCCACTTCTACCATCACAACCCACTCAACCCACGAGTCCTCTCGAACGTCGGCGCAAACGCCGCGCAACGGTAGCCACGGGCATATCCCACTCAACAAGCCAACAAAAGCGAGGCAGTTCCACTTCAGCCCATTCCAGCCTCGAGGCTCCAACGTCTGCTTCGGAATCGCAGCAACAGGAGGCGATGAGTGAAAACCGCGACACCAACCACGGCACTAATGACAATGATACTAATAACCACACGCGTCTGGCAGACATAAACATTGCCGCTTCCAACGCCCTCTCGCCACACATGTCCGCTTTTCAACAGCAGGTCATCACGCCCTTTTCCCCTAACTTTACCTTTTCCGCTTTTACGCCTGAGAACGTTGGCGCTGGGAGCTCGTCGCAGGCACAGTCGCAGGCGCAGGCGCAGTCACAGCCGCATTCACAGCCGCATTCACAACCGCAGTCACAGCAGCAGTCACAGCCGGCACAGTCACAGCAGTCGCAGCAACAAACACAACCACAGCAGCAGCTGCAAGACCCCGGCTCCTCGCAGCAAACCAACGCTTACGACCCCATGTTTGGCATCCCGACGCCATACGAGCAGCAAGGCACGCCCGGCGCGGCCAGCGCGGCTGGCTCGACGCACACGGAGAGCGAAAAAGACCCGTTCCTGACGCTGCTGGAGCAGCTGGCTGAGAATGAACAGAGCCGCGGCGGGCCCAGCGAGCTGGACTTTTTCCTTAGTGGGGGGAACTAGGGGGATGGGAGTGGCGGGATGTCACGGATAGCTGGCAGGCTTGTTAGGCCTGGTTCTTTTCGCCTTTTTGCTTCGAAGTTCTGTCCTTTTCCGTTCTTGCTTGTTTGCTTGCTTGCTTGCTTACCGTATTGGGACGTACGACGTGGTTTTTTGTTTCGCTTCGCTTTGCTTCGTTTTGCTTCTTCTTGGCGGAGAGGAGGGGAGGGGCCGCGGTTCGATTGATTCAACAGCGGACTACGGATCTCCGCGGCTTGGGGGCCTTGGCGGTTGGCGCGGACGTGAGGGCGCTCACGCTCACGCACGCTTACGCTTGCTCCTTGGCGGGCGTGGCGCGGTGGGCATGGAGTATTGAGCATGCTGTGTAGGGAAGGCCGGATAGCAGGTCCGGCATCAAAAGGGGGGGAAGGATTTCGGATTTGCTCGTCGGCGGCGGCGGCGGAAGCAGTAGCGGTAGCGGTAACAGTAGCGAGCGAGCGAGTGACGTGTAAGCTACAGACGGACATGGTGGCTTCTTTCACGGGAGTAGCTTCGCTACGTACCCCAGCACGCACTCAGTAAGGTAGTAGTGTAGTAGCTAGCTAGCGCCTCACGACGACATTGGGAAACGGGAAATGAAACGATATGGATGACGATGATCGATGAGGATGATGATGACGACGCCGATCGAATAGCCCGTAGGTCACGTCTGTGGTTGGGCGGGTGAAGGGGATGGACGGTCAGACGGACGAATGTACGAATCGAGCAGGCGGCTATGAGGGCGTTCGTGGGGGCCCTGGTGCGTTGAGTTGGGTTAGTAATGCGGCCTGCCTTGCGGGCTTGGGGTGTTTGCTGGGCTGGCCTGGGTTGCTGGGGTGGGGTTGTGTTGGCGCTGCTGCTTCACGGTTGTGGAAGGTCACTCGATCATCTTTTTTAAATAAAAATATTATAAAATAAAATAATATTCGCGCGCGTGGGAATTTATTTATATGCGGGAAATGAAAGGCGTGATAGGGGCGGGTTGGTTGCTAGTTGGTGTTGTTGGTGTTGTTGCGATACGATGTGATGTGATGTATACAGGGCTGGGTCTAGCGTGCAGAATACCTACCTATCTACCTAGTGGGGCGGGGCGGGCGTGTTGTGTGATGTGCGAGGGGGGTCTATGTCGGTAGTTGGAACTTGGATGGTGTGAGTGTCTCGGTACCTATCATTTTTTTTAAAAAAAAAAAAATTTTAAGCGCCTGCCTGCTAGTCAGTCAGCAATATTGCGGATTCCGTTTTAGGAAGGAAGGAAAGAGAGAGCAAAGAGAAGAGAGATGATGTGGATGTGGCTGGAAGAGTTTGGGAAGGTGGCTTGGAAGCCGACGACTTCGTTGTCCGTCTCTTCAAGGTTGATTTATACTCTGTTTCCTTGCCCGAGAGCAGCTCAACCGGGAAATTAACGCGCCAGACAGAATGACATCGATCACTCCATACAACGGCCAGCGTAGGCCTCTTGGGCCAAAGCCGAAGCAGCTTGCAGGCACCTGCAACGTTAAGTCTTTTTCCGCTGTTGAACTTTCCCCACCGAGGGCCTTTACTTACCTACCGTTATTTGTCGGTGACTATTATCGCCCGATGGTGATCATCATCATCACCGCGACGCGTTTGGGCAGAGGGGCTTAAAAGCGGTTCCAACGGAAGGATATTTGCAGTTTGCCACGGCACACACACACATACATCTCCCAAAATGAACCCGACCTTCGAGTGATCGTCGTGCACTTTCCATAAACAAGGACAGCACGATGTATGCTTCCGAGCAGTGTGGCTGGATCTTATTCCTGATATTGGTTTAGTAGATGCCTGGATTCGCGAGCATTTGTTCGAGAAGCCGATACTGACTGGTGTAGGCGTGGTCGGGGTGTTCCTATTAGCGGTGATATGTATCCGATTTGTGCTTCCGCGTCGTCATGCAGCAAAGTTGTGTTCTGGTAAGTCTGAACTTTGCAGTGAGTGAGACCGCCGGGTACTGGCTTGACTTACCAGTGGATGAGAGCGAGCTCGCACCAAGGGTGCTTCACTGAGCCATTTTACTACAGTGCTCTTTCTCAGCCAAAGCCACTTCCTCTGGAGTAACTGAGGAGGCCCGACTCTTCCTGTTCTTGAACATTTACTGGCTGTTATTGTCGTCCCTGCTCTTATCTATCGAGAAGCGCAGGTAGAAGTTTAGCCACGTTTAAGGTATCTATATCCCGAGAACCCGGGCTTGAGGCTTCACATTATCTTTTAGTCCTCGCTGATATGGCTTCTTAGCTTAAATATCTCGACGCCGTACACGCGCTCTACGCCGTTGGGGAAGAAGAAGGCTATGCGGCCCTACAGCGCGCCTCGTTTTGTTTTGGTATCTCGGCGAGTCTTATGTCAAGCTAATAAACACCCGGAACAACGCTGACCTTCTCTCTATTGCTCTACCCAACAATTCTAATTAAATCGTAGCGGCTGATTTGTGGGCCACTACGGTATGTTATTGACAGTACTGCGCCAGTGCTGATCAGGCCGTCAACTTCACCGCATACTCCGAGTTTCGTGTTGGAAAACATACTGGTAAGGACTGTTACCAGCTACAAATGTCGGCGACTATCATCGTTCGCCCCTGATGATGATGATGATATCATCATCATGACGCGTTTGAGGCAAGGGGATTCGGATTGTGTTAGAGAAAGAGGTGTCTAGACGCCAGCCGTCTTCATATGAGTAGTGGATAGATGTATCAGACAATAACGTCTTGTGCATGGACATTGCTGGGTAGGCTTTTGTTGAAGACCAATATCTATAATCTGTTAGTATTTATAGACCTTTGAGCAACAGCGCAGTTGGAGCAGCATCTGGGCGCGAGGGATTGTAGTCTATACATGGCGGGAAGAGTTGGGACGAGTGCGTTGGGGATAAGTCTTGATGACAGTGCCGACGAGCATTGAAGAACCTGGACTTACGCGGCTCCTCATACTCGCCCTCTTCATCATATCCGCCGCCCTTTCTGTACTCGTCGTCCTCCTTCGCCTCGGCTTCGACCTCGCCCTCGTCGTACATGTACCGGCAGGCGTTTCCACCAGATGAGATACGAAAGCCGTCTATAATCTGACGGTGATGATAGTTGACCTCCTTGTTATTAGCATCCAGATTACAAGTAGGGGCACTCTTTACTATAGTGCGCCAGCCTTGCGCGCCTGGATCTATGCATGGGTGTCGACGACTGTTGGTTGATTGAGTGGCTGGGCGGTGGGAACTTGGCCGGAAAGTGATTAATTGGTTGGCGGACGGTAGGAAAGGCGGATATATTTGTGCTTTTGTCTACACAATGGCAGAAACGTGGAGTAGGTGGATCTGTAGCTGTTGTGGCGAGGCGGCTGGAGCGGATTCAAGGACGAGAAGGTGAGTGAAGCGGGCCTGAGAAGGGTACCAGGGCCTCACGTTCAAGACCCCACGTTCAAGAAAGCGAGCCCACGAAGCGAGCTAAATATACAAACATCGCAGACTAGAGAAAGCGGAAGCAGCTCATAATAACAAGTCAGTGTCGTCAGCGTCGTCTAGTACTAGCGTCAGTATAGCGTTGAGATAAGCCCTGGTAGCGGTATATTATACCACGATATAGACAAGATATACATACATTAGCACCGCTCTAACCCCCGCACCACTAAAAGCACTACCACTAGCATCGACGCCACCTTCAGTCTTAGTGCTCGTACATCGAAAAGCGTGGCGCCGACACTACTACCAGCGCTAAACAGTGAAGAGATACACACGCAGCCAACCACCAAAGTTCCTCCCACACCAACACCAACATCCAGCACCCCCTCGCCCACCCCCTCTCGCCGAACCTTCCCTCTGCATCTACCACACCTCACACACAGTTCCCGCTCACACACCCGTTTATGCCATCCCGCCCCCTCCTTCTCCTCAGCACGCCACCCCATCTCCACTCCAACACAAACTCTAACCCCCACGCCCCCTCCCTTCACATACCACGACATCACCAGCAGCAGCAGCAGCAGCAGCAGCAGCAGCAGCAGCTCCACCACCTCCACCAAAAATAACCACACCATTCCCTCCGCGTACGGAAACCTCTTTCCACCCCTTCAGCACGCCCGGCGAGCCGCAGCGGGGAAGCACGGCACGAGAAACAGCGACAGCAGCCAGACCGACCTACACACACCACAGCAAACCCACCTACATACATACACACATACGCCATACACCCACACCTACCGCGCGCCAGGCCCAGGCACCTCGGAACAAAACGGGCAAGGGGGAGCAAAGCTCGCTCGGGTCGCAATGGCGAGCAGCATGACATGGCATGACATGACAGCGCGTGCGGACAGGCAGCTGTCGTCGGATCGGGACGAGGCGTTGACACGGCGGGCACGTGCAGCTGCCTGCTGCTGGCGGCCAGCGTGCAATGCGTGCAGCACGCACGTCGTCGCGGCCGTGCAACGTGCCGCCGCAGGGGCATGACGCGACGCGACGCCATGCGCTGCAATGCGAGGCGCTCAGACGAGGTATCATGGCACAAGACAAGGCGGGCGTACGGGAGACGGGCTGATTGGCTGGTCCTGAGATCGAGCGATGAAAGGAGTGTCGTGGTTGTTTTGATATCAGTCTGGCGGATCCGCTATTCGGATTTGCCGCTACTTCTTTCCTCCTTGTCTCTGCCGTTCTTCTCTCCCCTAACGTTTATTCCCAGGACTATCGCGCTCGTCCCAAGCCATCATGTCGAACCATCATCTCCTCCAGGACCTCTCCCCAACATTTCCTTGATGCTAGACCTCCCGACCTGATTGTGCGCCACAAACGCAGGGGCACGGCCACCGGCATGCCCCCCTGTGCCATCATCGGACACGACGCTGTCATTCGCCGCGACGGCATGTCTATGATACAGCGGATGCACGTTCCCGGCCGCGACGGCGGAGAAGCCCAAGTCTTGCTCGGTGGTGCTGTTCGAGGGGCCTCCGCTTGAGAAATACGTGGCGGAGCCGTTCTGGCGATCAGTGAGACCGGTACCTGCTGTGCCGGATGGAAGCGAGTAGCCTTCGAGTCCTAGTGGGAAGGCCGATGCACCGAGTGTCTCGACGTACTTGCCACGATCGAGTCTGCCGTTGATGGAGAAGCCGCGGGCTTCGGACTGGTAGTCCGAGTATACCCACAGGGGGTAGCTGTAGGTGCGGGAATAGGCTTGCGTCGTGTTGGACGGGCCGGAAGCCGTGTCATATCCCTTGGTCGACTGCGTGTTGACTTGCACACGGCCAGCATCGGTAAAATTGCCAACGTTGCTAAAGGATAACTCCTGGGTCCATGTGGCCTTGTTCGAGTCCCGGCTCGTCTGTACGGTCGCGCTGATCGAAAGACTGCGCTGCACTGCAACAGCATAGTCGAGCGTCACATTGGTGTGGTTCCGGGAGCCGTGGGCGACGGAAGACACGGAGATGTTGGGATCTGACGCGAGGATGCTGGGTGGAGAGCCCGTCGTCACGCTGCCGGCCTCATCAAGCCAGAGGAACAACTTGCCAGTCACAACCCAGTAGCTACCGACAGTCTCGCTGAGCACGGCTTCTTTTGCTCCGTTGCCGATTGTCGTGTCGTTAAGGCCGGTCACTCTGATTTCGAACGTGTGCTCACCACCGTCGCACAACAATGGCAGCCAGGGCGTAATGTCGATCTGGTCTTCTTTGAGATCAAATGCGTCGGTGCCAACTATGGGCCGCCAGAAGCCTGGGACGATGCCGCCAGTAAAGATGATAGGAAATGGCCAGACAACGCCGGCCAGATATCCATCAATGTACAGCTGCACCTCACGCCACGGCGAATACCCATACAGCTCTGTGACATCACCAAAAGCGTTGACATCCGATTGAAGCACGTTGGCCCACCAAAACTCTTCGGCACTTTGGCCATTGGCCGAGATGGAGAAGATGGCCCGTGCGATGTTCTGGGGGAGCGATAGGGTGTTCGTCGCGTTGTCAGCCGGGATATTCCAGGCGCTCGCACCGTTTGCAGACGACTTCCGAGCTGAGATCGGGATGATCCGGTCGGCGGGCAAAAAGGTTTCTTCGTCATAGAAGTAGGCCGTGAGAGTTGCGTTGAAGCTGGCTGTATATTGGTCGTTGACGATATTCCCCATGTCGAAGATTATCTTTTGGTTCTCCCGGAAAAGGGACAGGTATGCCGACATGTCTTTGGTGTAGGTCCAAATGATGCCATTGGGCGTTGGTTCGGCGGTAGAAGTACGGAAGATTTCCGTATCGCCAAAATACATGAGCGCCAGGCGGTCATATTGGTGGCCTGCGGAGGTGACTGTAAAGTTGAAAGTGACACGGCTAAAATTGCACGACGGTGGTTCGTAGACGCCTGTGCCAGCATTTAGCACCGCGTATCCTTGAAGGAGCTCGTGCTTGCCACAGGTATAACTTGACTCGTGCTAGACTATGCACAAACGGGGTTTATCATCGCGTGGGGTGCAGCGATGATCCCGGGCAAAGGCAAGGATACAGTGCGGGCCACAAGCAAAGAAGAACGTACCGACAAAGGGCGCGCCGTAGCTGTTGGCGAAAACGTAATCCATCAATGTCTGCTGACAGTCGGGCGTCGCGGAGACGTGAACCGGAGGATCGAGCTCGAAAACGTCCAATAGGCTTGTGGACGAATTCCCCGCGCGGGCAGCCAGAGGGCTTTCGTGGGGCGCCCCGCCTGCGGGTTGGGCAAAGGCTTTTGGCTGTAGGTCGAGCAGGCACAGGGCGCAGGTGAGGGCCAAGGAAACGAGCAGGGGTTGAAACCTTGCCCATGGCCCTGTCGATGAAGCTCGATCGAGTGATTGCGTGCAGGTGGCTTTTGGGCTCTCGGCCGCTCGATCTACGGTTCCGCGAGGGAGCGGCCGTCCCGTCTGACAGGAGGTTGGCATTGCGGATGGGTTGTTGTTGCGAGCGGAGGTTGAGGTGTTACGTGGATCAACCGCACCCCAGTCCTATAGGTCCAGTGCAGCCGACGAGAAAAGAGATCAGTCACAACGGTCAGGCCCTGTTTGGGGGGTCGAGTCGGTAATGGTTCCAGAAGCGCTGGACGGCCTTTGTGGCAATTTCGTTATTGGTCGAGGGCTGGCGGAAATAATTGAACAGGCCAAACTCGTCTCGGGTGAAGATGTAGTGGTCGGGCTGGGCGTGGAGCTTGGCCCAGACGTTCTGGAGCTCGCGTTGGAGGAAGGACTCGACGGACGGGTCGACGGGCGACTCGGCCTCGCGGGCGATGTTGAGGGCTTCTTGTAGCGTCATGGTGCGGTACCCATTGAGCGTTTCTCCGTTGCCCATTGTAACGATAAGGGCGGGTGTGGGGCAAGGCTAGGACGGAGCGGGAAGGTGCGAGGAGAGGGTGGTTGATAGCAAACAGCAAACAACAAACAACCCCGCGCCCGTTTTATATGGCCGGCGAAGCTCATGAAGGGGTAGAGAGAAGGGAAAGACTAAAAGACGAGACCCACGTGGAGTGACAGGTTTCATGCCCCTCTGAAGAAGGCTCCGACCGGCAGGCGGCCGCTTGTGGCTGCTGAGAGGCCAAGCGAGGTGAAGAGCGACACGCATGGTGGGGGAGGTTGCCTGGATTTGCCTTGTTTCGAGACGTGCGAGGCCCGGCGCGTTGGGAGAGGCCAGGCGGGTGCTGCCGAGAGATGTCGACGATCTGCGCCTAGTGCTCTCTGCGGCTCCCACTGACGTGACGAGGCCTCATCTCCGTCCATTCGGTGTCGGCCCGGGCTGATCCTTGTCGCTTCGGGTGAAGCTCTGTCCAACGCTCAGTCCATCAGAATTTCCTCCATCTTCAAACCTCTCGCATAACCCCTTCGAAACACCCAGTCATGAAACCCTTCCGACGGGCCTTTTTCTCCCAAGCCAGCCTCGCGTCGGCGTCTGGGCGCGTCGTCAGCAATCCAACGCCCTTTGCCTCCCGCCTCTTCCGCTCCTACCTCTCGCCCTCAGCCCGCCCTCGTCCTCCGCTCTTCCGACCCTTCCTGCGCAACTCCTCCTCCAAGCGGCCCAACCCGGACCCAACTCCGCACCTGGGCTCCCCCAAGCCCGCCCTCAGCTTCTCCCAGCGCATGCGCAAGCTGTCGCGCGAATATGGCTGGGTTGCGCTAGGCGTATACTTGGGACTGTCGGTCCTCGACTTTCCCTTTTGCTTCATGGCTGTACGCATGTTGGGTGTCGACCGCATTGGCCGATGGGAACACGCTGTTGTCGGCGCCTTCTGGAATGCCGTCAGCTTAGTCTATCCCGAGGCGCGCCCTGCGAAGAAGGAGAGGATGCCTGAAGGCGCGGCCAAGGCCGAGGATGGCGCAGGAATAGTGGACGGTGCGCTGATGGATGTAGCCGAGGCGGATGAGGCCAACTCAGGGAGCCAAGCTAGTGAGTGCCCTGGAATATTATGATGATGTTTGCTGACGAGCTCCCAGCCATCTGGACCCAACTCGCCCTCGCCTATGCCATCCACAAGTCCTTTATCTTCCTGCGAGTACCGCTGACTGCGGCCGTCACGCCCAAGATTGTCAAGGTGTTGAGGGGATGGGGTTGGAACATTGGGAAGAAGAAGCCCAAGTCGTCTTAGGTTTGAGTATAAGAGGGTTAGACGGTGACTGTACAAACAACCGCATGTGGCGCGGCGGGGACATGGAGCATTGCAAGGAGTTGCACTGGTAGGCATTGTGGGTAGGCATTGTATCACCAGGTCGATTTTGAGGAGGATGTCAGCTTGAGCTGTGTATCACATCAGGCTTGGTATAACCTCAGGGAGGTCGGTTTGAAAACTGCGTGTAAAAGTACATCTCATCTCCCATCATTATATTAGACCACAGCGCTCGTCAACGGATTTACGAACACCGTTGTTAGCGAGTGGGGTTATGCTTTCGGCAGCCCCGCATTAGCTAGTCGCCGCCGTCTACGGATTAACTACCTAGCGAGACGTTTCATCAGCCGGCTTGAGCCTATCCGCACCTGTTTGAAACTTACCTAGTCTTCTCATTTGGCATTGAAGTTGCCACTTTCGACCTGCTCGCCCGACGCTCGCGATACGCCCGTATTCGCTGGACTACTAAGTCCGACGTCGGAGCGGCCGAGGAGCTCGAGCCATGGCCTCATCATGACAGACTATCCCCGCGCGGGCCGCCCCAAGTGCTTGAGTTTGATGGCAAAGAGGCTGAGCGGCTGATGGATCCTGGGGCGATGTCGGTCGGATGCCCGGTTGCTGCATGATGCCACGAACGCCCTCTGATGGGCTAGGGCTTCTAACTCATGTAAGTATTACAGTTTCTCGTATTGATCCAGTCTATGATCTCGAGTATACTTTTCCTCTAGTCGTTATTCGGCATTGCTGTGCTCTGCCCATTGATCCCTTTGCGTGTCCATCCGCAAACTTCCTTCCCTCTGATAGAGCTGGCAGAATCTATACCTGGTCGGGACGGCTCCTAACCAGCTTGGGCAAAGTTTTCACGCTGTATGCTCGCTGTGGCCCAAGCACGAGAGTGGAGGTGGTTGATTGTTGGTCTAGCTAGGAGAGGAGAGAGATCTAGCTAGGTACGTAGCCAGTAGGCGCTCGGGCCATCTCAACCCCAGCAGGTGCGCTCCTCAGCTCCTGCCAACGGCAAGAGCCTGTCATATCGCTTCCTATAGTTACAACTCCGAACAACTCACTACTCAGGAAAAGTGCCTTGGTCAGTGCAAGACGGTACGCAGAAGCCTGCCCGGCTAAGGGATGCCAATGCCGACCCTCGGACGCCAAACCCCCCATCAAGCCTCGGATTAACCGCTCGCCGAGCTGGAGGACCGATTTGCCTCGGTCCAGCATGGCCACGCGCTGATCTCATCGCCATATTTAGGTTAAGCATGACGGGAGCAAGCAACTCATTCTCCTTGATCCTGTTCAATCCTCGACAATGCCACCGCCTGCTGTCCCAACCCCAGAGTGGGTGAAGAAACTAACGCCTTCGGGCCCCCAAGGCCACGAGCTTCTCGCCCAGGAGCGCGCAAAGAGTACACTCCCTGTCCAGAACTTATCTACCTTTCTTTTCACCGAGGAAGTCTTAGAACGCAAGCGCCGCATCTTGGAGATTTTGACGAAAGACCCTGTATTCGACAAGTCTAATAATTACTTTGCTGGCCGCATCGACCGCTTCGAGGCTGCTCTCGCAAGAGCCAAGAGGCTGCGCCAGCTGACAGTGGACCATGGCTGGACAGATGACGAATTCCACATGGCTTCAGATCTGCTCAACGAGCCGACACCATATGGTCTTCACGCATCGATGTTCACTGTAAGCTTGTAATACCTAGTTCTTCATAAAGCGGACACTGACGTCATATTTCAAGGTTACTTTGCGCGATCAAACAACACCGGAACAACAAGAGCTCTTCTACAAGAAGGCAAAGAACTACGAGTATATTGGTTGCTACGCGCAAACAGAGCTCGGTCACGGCAGTAATGTGAGAGGGCTAGAGACTACGGCCACCTGGGACCCAGCCACCAAGACCTTCGTGTTGAATTCTCCAACCTTGACTTCTGCCAAATGGTGGGCTGGATCGCTTGGTAGGACGGCAACGTGGGCTGTGGTGATGGCGCAGTTAATCATAAACGGAAAGTCGTTCGGCCCTCACCCTTTCGTTGTTCCCATACGAGATAGGAAAACGCACCAGCCCTTCCCAAACGTGTCAATTGGGGACATAGGACCAAAGTTTGGCTATAAGTAAGTCAATCATCGAGAATATTAAATAACAACCTACTGACTGGGCTGCAAGTACGATGGATAACGGCTTTCTGCTCTTCAATCATTACCGCATTCCACATATTAACATGCTTTCGAAGTTCGCGGGAGTCGACCCTAAGACTAACAAATACATCCGCCCCGCAAAGGCCTCGCTGGTGTACCAAACCATGACCTGGGTCCGAAGCACAATCGTCGTTCAAGCGGGCTCTGTGCTTGCCCGCGGGGTCACAATCGCCACAAGATACTGCTCTATCCGGCGCCAATTCCAGGATAGGGACGCCCCACCCGGGGAGAAGCTCGAGACGCAAGTCCTTAACTACACGATGGTTCAGATACGTCTACTACCGCTTCTTGCTGCAACGTTCGCGCTCCATTTCACTGGCAAGAACATGATGGCCCTCTATAAAGCCAACCAAAAAAAGATGCAAGAAACGGATAACGGGAATACGACTTCACCCCAACGCAGTCCTGGCCCTGAAGAACTACGTCCTAGCAGCGACCTCATGGCTGATCTACATGCCACGTCTTGTGGCCTGAAGTCTCTGTGTAGCTCCATTGCCGCTGAGGGTCTCGAATCCTGCCGTCGAGCCTGTGGGGGCCATGGCTACAGCTCTTTTAGTGGGATTGGACCGTTTTACGCTGACTACCTGCCCACGATAACCTGGGAAGGGGACAACTTCTTGTTAACTCAAATGGTGGCGCGCTTTGTAAGTTTTTTAGTCTTGTCGACGTTGACAAAACTGACATGGACGTGATCAGCTCCTCAAATCCGCGCGCAGCGTTCTGAAGGGCGAACCTCCCACTAATGACACGACACGCAACCTTCAAAATTTCCTTGAAAAGTCCGAAATGGGAGCAGCCTTTGATATATTGGGCAAAGATGAAGACATCGTGGCAGCCTTCGCTTGGCGTGCGGCCTACTTGACCTTCGAAGCGCTCAAGCGCCGCGACGAGCAAAAAACTCCCTGGAACGACTTACTTGTGGACTTTTTCCGCCTAAGCAAAGCGCACTCCCAATACCTCGTTGTGCAAAGCTTTTATACTGGGCTACAAGAACCATCCACGCAGCAGGAGCTAGACCCCGAGACCCTGGCCCTGATGCACAAGCTGTTCCGACTGTACGCGCTGCATACGCTCGAGAGCGAGGCCTCCGAGTTCTACAGCTCGAGTGCGGTGACAGTGCGCCAGATCCAGCTTGCTCGCACCAATGCCGTCATGAAGCTGCTTGCCGAGATACGCCCTCATGCCGTGCGCCTTGTCGACGCCTGGGATTTCCCCGACTGGCAGCTCGATAGCAGTTTGGGACGGTACGACGGAAAGGTATATGAAGACTTGTTCTATCGCGCCAGCGAGCTCAACCCGCTTAATGCGGTCACGATCGACCCCTACCCGAATAGCGGTGTTTTGTTCAAGTCGGACAAGAGCTCTCAGTTCAAGAGCAAGCTGTGATGAGACAATGAGGTATGTGGGATGTGGCGCTATGTTATGTGGCTAGGTACGTTCGTTTCTGTTGCATGTTATGATGTACAGCATGTCTAGCTTGAGGTAGGGGAGTAGAGAGATTTCCTCGTCTATTTTTATTATGTATTTATTCGTTACCACGACACAAGTTAAAGTACATAGGTAGCGCGCTTGTCCGCCACGACATGACTTTCTTTCTATTCTCCCAATTTTGCATCCTCAAATCCCCGTGGAATAACTCTCACTTCCTCGCATTTCTGCCCCCTCGAACCCTTGCGGAATACCCTCTCATTGCCGTACCTCCGTGCTCTCTTACCTTTGTAGAGTATTCTCTCATCGTCGTATCTTTCTGTCTTCATATATACACACCACCTCGCCCCTCTATAACTTTTCGAGTTAAGCGCGGCTACCGAAATACCATCTACATATGAAGCTAAGCTACTTACAACCGCAGAAAGAGAACTCCGTAGGTACAACAGGCTTATACTAACAGGTGGCCAAGGGGTGTGTGTAATAGCCAAGAGAGTGAGTGGACTGCCCGGACCTACCCGACTCTGATGAGCGTGGAAATTTTAACAGAGGGCCTTAGACCCTGCTGGGGGCGTGCTTCTCTATAGCCTCCGTAGGTCCGCGATACTACCTAGCTTGCGGGCGATGGCTCTTTACCGAGAGCCTCTCGCTGATCCTTTGTGGTTGCGGTTGCCCCAGTGCGCAGGAGCAAAATTTTCCTATGACGTTGCCAGTTCGCATGGCGGGATATCTTTGTTGTGGAAGGGGCGGGACGGGGTGTAGCTTCCTGTCCCCTCCTGAAGCTCACTCTACCCGACGACCACCTCAACAACAACATCAACGCCTCCAACTGCTGACCCATTCTGCTTAGTGGAATCGAAAAGGCATCGACCAGCTTGTTCCTTCTGGCATATTCAGTCGCGCCCTTCGCACGGAGGCGGAACGCCGCTTTGAAGAAAGCATTTGGCAATCACCGCCGCTACAGTTGGAAGTGGATGTAATGACAAACATGCATGGTTCACAATGCAGATCAGCACGCATGTTATGCTTCGCAAGGATTAGGTATCTCGATTCCAAATCACTTCATCCAACAATATCTACTCGCTCACCTCTCACCTACAGCAAGGCCTTCAGACGTCTCAGAATCATCGTCAGATTCGTCCCAATTGAACTCCTCTTCTTCTACTTCATCCGACCACTCCGCATCACTCACCACGGACGCATCACCAGCATGGTGCAAGACCAGCGATACTTCGTATGCTTCCCTGATCCCGGCAGGATCCATCCTGTTATAACCAAACTGGCCGACTCTGGATAGAAAACCTATAGTGGTTTCTGTTGAAGGCAAGCCTGAAGTCTCCACCAGATAATCGGTTTCGCCTTGGGCTTCGATGGCGACAGCAAGCGGCGTCTTCCCACAGTTATTCTCCGCCGTTAGATCAGCCCCACCTTGGACAACGAGGTATTTGACCAACTCAGAACCGGTATACTTGGTTGCTCCCATAGCAGCTTCATGAAGAGGAGTTGCTCCATTTGCGTCCTTCACTTCCGTGTCTGCTCCGAGCGCAATGAGCTTCTCTACCGAACTCTGGTATCTCTTGACGACAGCCCAATGAAGCAAGGTTCTGCCCGATATTTTCTCCCTGGTGTTGATATGCGAGGAAATCAACAAGTTCAATTTTTGGAGCTGCGAAAGGAAATGGTCTAAAGAATCCTCAGTTTGCGCTGCGCTTGCGATTGAAGACATGAGTGTATCTTGCTCCTGTCCTTGGCAGAAGTCGAACCAAGGATCGGCTCCATGGCGGAGTAGCAAAGGCATGATTTCACTAGCATTCAACTTCATCGCCGCTGCCAACGGGGTTGCTGTAAATCCTCTATCTCCATAAATTCGAGGAGTATTGTCGTCTTCCTGAGGCACGTCCTCTGAAGGACGTGATTTAGGCTCATATGAACACACAATGTTTGGATCCGCTCCAGATCCAAGCAGTCTCTCACAAACTTCGAGATCATTGGCCATGGTTGCTGCTAGTAACGGAGTCACACCATTGTCATCTTTCTTGTTCACGTCTGTGCTTGCTTTTGAAAGCATAGACATGGCTGCCGAGTGGTTATAGAAGCAAGCGGGAGCTAGCAATATAGCAAAGCTCACTGGAATGGCGTCTGTAAATTCTTCTACCCTTTCAAGAAGTAACTCCGTGCAGACTTTTCTTATTGCCGCGCTATTCAAAATGGCTCGCCCCAGCGCATCAAGATATGACGATTGGCTTAGACGAGCTTTACGCTGCAAGAGAAAAGCAACGGGGACAGTAAAGTCTCGGTATCTTTTCCGTTCATTGGCTGTCGTGGCCGGGATGCGCTTGAGTCCCATTTGAACCATTGCTGTTTTTGATGGAGGGTTGCTCTTTGGCAAATATGCCACAAAAACAGTTTCGAGCGACATACAAAGGATCCGTTGGTCGTATTTCTGCGATTGGAGAAGAGCGTCCAGTATTGCTGCAGCCGTTTTGTGCTTGAAGAAATCCTTTTCAAGGAGCACTGGTAAATCCTGACCTTCAGGGATGCGCTCGATCCAACTATCTTGCGTCGCATGCTCCGATTGACATTTCTCGATGTACGGCATAAGGTCGTCGTAAGTTGCAGCTCCTTGACCGTCCTTTCCTCCTAGATGAATAAAGGTCTTGATAGATACCTCGTCGCCGGCAAGGGCTACACGCCTCAACCCTTTGTCAAGATTGTTTTGTGTTGGCTTCTTAGCACCCATATCCAGCAAAAGGTTTAGGACCGCCGCGTTGCCTCGACTGGAAGCTTCATTCGTGGCCATGGACATCCAATCATCAGGGAGCGCGGCGTCGGTATTCTCGTAAGCTGTGAGAATAGCGCGGAAAAGGGATGTCTCAGCCCAACGTGCAGCATGCAATATGGTCGAACCCGTAGGGACTGCCTTATTGTTGAGGAGCAACGTGACCATGGAATGATCTTCGCGATCAACTGCCACGCTTAGAGCAGACTTATGGTCAAACTTCGCCTCGACAGACACCCCTTGGCTGACAGCATACTCCGCTACTTGGAGCCGACTATAGCGACAAGCCTCCCAAAGCGCGTAGTCCTTAGCCGACTGTGGGCAATGCTCGCTCGCAAAAAGGACCTTGACCACAGCTAGGTGGCCCTCTCTGGCAGAAGCTCTTGTGGTAGCTGTCATGTAACGTCCCAGTTTTCCCCCCAACTCAGCGAACAGAAGGCGAACGACAGTGTCATGTCCATTCAGCACAGCCAAGTGCAAAGGATTGAAAGCTGGAACCGGAGTCCAGTCCTTTGCGGAAGAACTAGGTTCCTGTGTTTGACGTAGCATTCCTCTTACGACGGGCACCAGTCCATGAGCTGACGCTTTGCTGAGCATGACCCGAAAACTCCAATCACCAATACGGTGAAAGGGCGCGAACCATGACCGCAGCCCGCCAAGGCCGTTAAAACACAGAGTAGTTATGCATTCATCAAGTGTCTCTTTTTCGGCCTCGTTGATGTCCTCGGGATCATTCGATGCTTTTGTGGCATTTTCAACATGCACATACCAATTCAACGCGGCGTACTCGTAGAACGCACCTCTTGACCCAAGAGATACATCTGAGGTCCAGTCTTGAAGGGCAAGGTAAGTGATGCAGCTTTGAGCCAAAACATAGTTAGCTCTTGGTTTGTATACCGAGCCACGCCACCTTCTCGAAGGACCAGGTAAGGCAGTTTCGGATTTCAGCAGGAAAGTTCTCACAGTTCCGTGAGCCAGGTGGATTCTAGAGTCGACGATACGAACTAAGGCTCCGCAAAGCTGCTTGACAGTGAGCCCGATACGAGGATCGAGGCTGATGCTGGTTTGAACATGATCATTCGCTCGAATGTGTAGAGCCACATTAACCTCGTCAAGGTGTAGTGGCTTTGTGACGACCAGAAGGATTTGTAGCAAAGTTAGGGGTTTGTCTGGATCTGACGTTTTCGACAGCGCAGACTCATATACAGCGTCAAGGTCTTTCGGGATGTTGATGATGTCGTCAACAGATTCATCATCGAAGGTTGCAGAGTGAAGGAGGAGGTCTAACACCAACGACACCCACAGAAAGTCTTGTCCGGATTTTTCTAGTATCGCTTGATAAACCCTTTCGCAGGTTCGTTCCTCGACAAGTCTTTCGTCGCGAAGCTTCTTTATACCGGCAGAGACAACCTTTTTAATGTCTGCGGATATGGCAATTGCTTCGTCTTCCATGCGTAGGCAGTTTGCAGTCAATGGCCCAAGTTCTGATTCAACTGTGACGAGTGGGCGGCTTGTGATGAGAAGCTTCGGGGGTATCTCCCATTCCCAAGCTTCGCCAGGTTCAGAGAACGCTGATACAAGCCGATTTATGAACCATGTTCGGGATTCCTCTGAACACTCATCCAGTGCATCTACGATGAAAAGTATCCTGGGTGGAGTTTCCGAGCCAAAGGGTTGCAGAGCGGTTGATAGGATGGTCCAAAGGGAGCTATAGTCCTTGACGAATTGTTTGCCCTTTCTACGAAGTTCCTTTAGAGTGCTCTGAACGAGCGAATTCGTCTCTGGAACACGGTCGAGGAGCTGATGCAGAATTGCACATAAAGCGTGGTGCAGGTGCTGGCGCACCTCGTCGCCATCCTTGAAGAAAAAGTAGCAAACAATGTCTGAAGACCCTGTTTGTCCTAAATGATCAATCAAGAAGTTGGCGAAGACGGATTTCCCACAACCAGGGCTCGCGGTTACCCATAGGAAGCATGGTTCGTCGTAGGATGATTCTTTCCATTGGGTGAATTTAGGATGTTCCAGAAACCATTTGCATGTTCCCTCAATCGGGTGGGGGATGGAGGTCCGCTGAGATTCATAGCCAGGTGCGGCATCGTACAGCAATTTCATGCATTCTGCGCCTCAAACATTTAATCAACTCGAAGTATATGTCATCTCTAGGTGGTTCTGACCTTCTAGTTCACGTTCATGTTCATTTCCGCGGCGGCCTGTGGAAATGGTCAACAATGCGCCCTCGACGAAGCTTTTATAAGTGTGATGCCAGTTACCTTGTGCTTCCTCTCTCATGGTCTAGCTTTGCGCCTCGTTTCTTGAGGCGGTAGCAGATTCAACTGAAGAGTGTGGGGCTGCGTGAGGGGTCAGAGACGCATTTACTTAACAATTAGGTTAGGCAGCAGCCTTTGGCCTTCTGTGTCACGCGTTGCAGCATCAAGAGGCATCCAATCGGCGTCGCACAGGCATCATGATTCATGCTGCTTGTCAGCTGTACGGATTGCCTGCCGACCTGCCATACCTGTGCATCGGACGAGGTTGGCTCGTGGAAGTCGATGGCACTTAACAATTGCCAGCGCATGACCGTGGAATGCTCGCGATATATCATCAATGACGCTGTGATATCGAGGCCCTAGGTATCGATGAGACTTGTTCCTTGCTCCAACGGAGCTGGATGGAGGTGGCATGAAGGTGATCAGATGCGACGCGGGGATGCGTGCCTAGTAAAACTTGGGTTTAGCGTGCGTGTATGGAACAATCGACAAGCGCAAAATGTCGATCGGTCGTTATCCTATATTCTTTTAAAATAGAATCCAATCTCACCCTACTCGTAGAAAGACTATAGCCCCCTTCTGAAATAGGTACTCCTGGCCCCCTACAACGATTAGAGGGGCAACTGTTGTTACAATTTACATGCTGCTCGTGAGCAACACAACCCACCATAAGCGCCGCCTCTGGATCTATCTATGAAGTAATCTGTAGGGCGTATTTTTAAGAGACCGCGAGTAGACCTACGTGGTCTTATATGTGGGATATTATTTTAAAGTCGGAGTGGCTTGACATACCTTTGCTGTTACGAAGCACCACTTGCTGAGGGGATCTGAATAACAACATCCCCCCTTTTAACCGCAGCAAGGAGCCGTTCATCCAGCAACAGATCGGCCACGAGTAATTCGCTTAGACCTCTACAAAGATGACTCAGTGGCTGGGAGCACAGCCAATAGCCTACGCCGCAATGACGAGAACCGGCACAACGTCGGGATGGCCTTCATCCGACACTCTGGCGCCAGGCGCCGCCACCACTGAAACTTGAGCGGGCGGGTGAGAGCGGGCCGATATCGCGCCTACATCTTATCATTCTAATCATTGTGGATGCATCCATTCATTGCAGAAATCTTCGAAGGATGCGCTCTGAACAACACATGCGTCTGGACTTGTCTGTTCGTATGATCGAGTTGTTTCTATCAAACATTATGATTTCGAAAGACCGAACCCCTACCTGTCTATAATCTGCAGCAGAATGAAAAATTGCTTGCCATCTACGCGTCGATAATCGTAAAAATAAAACAAAGAAAAGAACTCCAGTCCCAAATGCTGTGGTCTAATACCGAAATCCAAAACTTTTTTTGTGCCTCTTCTCAAGTGACAGAACGCCTTGCCAAAAGCCTAAAGTGAGGGGAAAAGATAAACGCTAGAACGCAAGAAGGAGTGAGAAGTGAGGTTTGAGTCGGTCGAAGCTGGGGCTGGCGGGTGTTCCCGGTCGATGGTGGTGAACATCGGTGTCTCGGTTGGCGAGCCGAGGTTCTCCGTAGAGGGAGGAGACGGGTCGACATGCAAGCCGCCGAATGGACGTTGCGCAAGTTGAAGCTTTGATGCGCCAGACGTGCGACCCAGCTACAATCTGGCCTCGATCCTCCTCGCCTCCCTCTGCTCAGCGAAAACCCTCCTGCTCATCTCGAGCACCATCTCGAAGCCCTCACGGCCCTTGGTCGCATTCTGCTGGAAACGGTCGACGGTGAACTGCTCGATGCTGTTCTTGACTTTTTGCCAACCGCCGCACATGGCAATGATCTGGGCGTTCTGCTCAAAAGTGGTCCTGGAGCGGGGCGCGGATGCGGTTGGCTTGTAGACGACGGTTTCGCGCACCGAGAGCAGATCCGACCAGGTCATGTTCATGCTGCACATGGTAACCTTTTTGTTGCGCGGGTCGACGTAGGACGTTTCGTAGACATGCGACACGTCCTGGCCGCCAAGGAAGGAGTTGAGCCACTTGGGAGTAGACTGCTTGCAGGTGATGAGGCGCTCGGTGCGGAGCTGGTTTGACGTCAGTAAAGAGCCATGAGGCTGCGGTGGCAAGAACTCACAATGCCCGTCTCCGGATCGACATGACGCGCGAGGGTATCGACGGCGATGACGTGCGGCGTCTTCTCGTTCCAAGGGGAGTACTTGCGCCAGTTGGCGGCGGAAACCTCCTCCCACGAGTAGTCAAAGTCGTGCGACGTCGAGAAGATCTTCATCCTGTTGGCTTGAAGATGGGGGAAAAGATTGCGGGGGTTTGGCGGAAGAGCGCGTTGGAAGAATTCAGCAACGGCGATGGATGCGGCGCAGCAAATAAAGAGGGCGAGGTCGTCGGGGGTGTGTCTAAGCACGAGTATGGATTTAAATGGATTGTAGCGACGACTGCAAGGAAAGACGAACAAAATCGAGAAAGCGAGACGGGGAGAAAGAAAAGAAGGATGGAAGGGGCTTGAGGCGATAGATTTCGTCGGAACTTGGAAGGTCTGTGCTTTAGTAAGTACCTAGCTAGCGTCATTCAAACCCTATCGCTCGCGGCAATGGAGGTATGCGGCATGGAACACGCATCAACGGACGAACATCCGCCAGATCGGCAGCCTTTCCACCTCACGGCCAAATCAGATTCATCCCTACCAGCCTGAATTCACGCCTCCCCAGCTCTGCCACCCCGTTCTCCGGGCATTCCCCGGGTTTCCCCGTCGCGTCACCGCGCCTTGCGGGGACGGACCTTGGTCTCGACGTCGACGCTTCAGCTCACTAACGTAAGCCCTGCACTTGACCGCCTCAGATTCGTCGATCTGATAATCCTACGGCCATATTTGCGACACCGCTGCGACCCGGAGTAATCCGCGCGCTCTCAAACAAACAGGGAGTGTTGATTAGAGGACCCGATCGGATGGAAACCTCATCGGAAAGTGTATCCTGGCTGACGATCATAAATAATGAAGCAACTCGGACCGCCGGACGAGCTATGCAAATACACAGCAATCAGTTGTTTCATGCACGCGATGCGCTCGAATGGACGACACCTTTTCTCAGTCGCGTGGCAGTCCGTAAAAGATATTCGTAATAAATTATATGTATTCTTTGACCGATTACTTTATTAGTTGTTACCTGATTTCATGTTTGTCTAGTCAAGGTTTGATAGCAACTGTAAGTCTGAACATGCCCTTTATTGTACACCAAAGGCCGGACATCACTAAACTTACTAGGCTTCGGACGATTATTTGCAATTGGCCGCGGTGGGCTTTCAAGAAGGCCAGTGCCATGTCTTGACCCACCGATGCTGCAGTATTCCATAGAGCTGTTGAAGGCGAGCAAGCAAGTATGCATGACAAGACTTCACTAACTTTGCGCGCAATAGCAAACGTATTATGGTTGATTTGGCTGAGTCCTGTCAATGGTGGTTTGGTTCGGGCTATGCTGCAGGGTCTTGTTTCAATGAGACATGAACGACCACTGTCCCTCCGTAAGGCCTAGTTTCATGAATGCTTATACTAACTCTGTCCAGTTACATGGTCCCATTCCAGTAGGCTCAAACATCTTCTATCTGGTTATAAGTCTTCGTCTTGGGTTGCTTTGAACGACCTGTTTCCAGCTATAAAGCTCAAAAACTAGTTACTTGAATGTAAAATTCTACTGCAAAAGGGGTTGAACGGTTCCTATCCGGCTAATGTTCCAAGACTCCCAGAGGCCGGAAGAGGGGAGCATATGAGCAAACACTTTCACAGGCGTTCTTAACCCTTTCACGCTTACGCATCTTCTACTTTAACACGCCGGCTTATTCAGCCACAATCTATTTAAACC